CTGCATGCATTTCACTCAAACCAGACGACCGCGGGAATTGGGAAGTTTAAATGAGACAAAAATGGGGAGATGGAGGCGGTGGCTTTAAGGAATCTCAACGCATTCCTCTTTCATCAACTTCACCTCAAAAACTAATGCTGCCTCTGTGTCGTCTAAAATCACATGCCGGTGACACGAAATGCCCTTCCGCCATTGGGGATCCATTTAGTTAACTTTTGTCCTCACTTACCTAAACTGATTTTTGACTCTCTAGTGCCATTTCATTTGATGGCAGCCGAACTGCCAGAGACACACTCGATCATAGTGAAGTGTTTGCGTGTGGTGGAGGGCCGCTCGCTCAACACCACAAGGATTCAAATAATCCAAACGATAAAGCCAATTTGTAATTAACGTAAAATTGACTAACCAGGTAAGAAAGTGGATATTGCCATAACTCGGAGATTTATCCCGAAGGCGTCATCTTACGGCACTTAACACACCCGTTCCTTCGAGCAGTTCCAATAGCATTTCGCGGACAATTTGTCATCCCCTTTGGCCTCCAACAGTCACATGACCTTGTGTTTAATGGAGTAGCCATTTGGCGGAAGAAGCGGGGGTGGTGGCTGGAGAAAGTCCATTTCACATTGTTCTTTTGCCATCATAAAAGCACAAACGTCTTTATCTGCAGAACAATTTTATTCTTTCTCATATGCTTTGAAAAGAGTCAACAGACTTTCAGTCTTTGTCTCTCCCCCATTAATGGCGTGTTTTGGTGAAATGGAGTCCTTTCTCTCAATAATAATTGCTTATTATGTTAAATGGGTGGGCTTTCCCAAATTTAGAAATGCAAAACATACAAAAATCTGCGCTAATTTGAAAGAATTCTCCTAAATTCGCACGTTTCTGTTTACCTAATCAAAGCACATGGCATAAAACTTCTGGTCGCTTTTAACGCTCTCCTCCTGTTAGCATTATTGCCTGACAGATAACATCAACTTTTCCTTATTTACCGGAAGCAGAGGTTTGTTGGCGAATTTGTACCACAATTTTGGATAGAGATCGACTTCACCTTTGATAATATTCTTTCTTTTTGTACTTCACTGAGGAAAAAACAATTTTTTTTTGCTAAAATCGCCTCTTCGAACGGATAACGGAGTTGCAGGGCAATGTTTGTGGACCGCGCATAGAAGTGACTTAAGACTGTGTCCACCTTTTACCTCTTTTCCGGTCCAGTGTGGAGAGTATTTTGCAGTCCACAAGTTGTCAAATATTTCGACAAATTTGTTAACTCCAGTTAAACACGATTTTTATTTTCCTTGACAATAACATAAAAGGTTACTGAGAAAACTCCCTCAGTGCAGTTGAGTAATTCCAGTTTATACCCGAAATTCCCGCTTTTTGGGTATGGCAACACCACTAAGCCGTCATCCGTCCACCTCGCCCACGACCTACCTGTTTCCATGCTTCGTGTATTTTCTTCCCCGTCCCTCTATCGAATGCTAAAGACGACCACGGGGCCGCATACACTTGCGGTGCCCAAAGTTTTTGCCATTAAAGTAAAGTGTATCTTTGGGAGTAACTACGTTTAGAGAAGAAGAATTTGAATGTTTGAGCAGTCAAGTTAACCATCTTGGTACTTAAGAAAAGTGAAGTAGAACAAAGTAATGCGTTGCATCACATCCGAATTTCTTTCCTCTAACATTTGAAAGAGCTCGACCTTAGTGGAAGGAAGAGTGACGAATCTGAGGGCGGAGTGATTCCCAAGGCTGTCGCTGAAGGCTTGCATTGACTTTAAAATCAAAGTTTCCATAAAGGCTTCATTCCAACAAAATAGTAGCTTACGATAAATCTGGAGCTGTTTTAGTATTAAACCGCAACATTTTTGCAGCAGACAGGAGATGTGTCAACTTTTTCTTTGGAACAACTTGCATTAGGAGAAGACAAAATCATACGACTTTTCCATCCCTTACGTGCGTATGATCATACGATTAGCTAGTGCTTAGTAGATGATGCAAAACGGAAGGTCTGAGAAATAAGTGGAGAACGAGACGAACAAAATCCCCTTAAGAAAATGGTCTTCATCACGATTAAAAACATTTACCGCGGTTTTCGGCTAATACTCACTCTTGCTTCGGCTATCCCATCCACCTTGACTCCTTTTAAAGGAGAGTCATTCGACTAATGGCATTTCAGACACTTATTCCGTGCGTGATCTTCTATCCTCAACTGCAAGCCTACAGATGGAACCACACTCTAAATGAGTGGAGAGGTGATGTCCATTGCCACATGTACTGCTCCCGGTATTAAACTGCTGAAGTGCGAAGTCCATTCCCCACGTCAAATCTCCTGTCAGGCCTTTTGAAGGCATTGAACCTCAAAGCGCCTGACAAGAGATTACCACATTGATGGCTTTTAAGGTTTATTACCACTTTTTTCCCCTTTCCCTACTGACGTGGATGGGCCATGCGCAGCAACTCCCACTCTAAAGTACATAATCGTGTGGAGTTTCCTCTGTTAAGCTGATAGAAAATAGCAATAAAATCCCAAAATTATTATGACTTTACATGAGATGGCAATTCGCTCTTTTCGGGCATCGCTTTATGGGGCAGGTTTTTCTTTGGTCGACCCATTTGAAAGGAAATGGTCCTCGTAAATCCTCCTCTGCCTTTACTGGTGTGTTCCCGTGAAAGTAGTGGAAGCTTTAAAAGTTAGCTACTCTCAACAAGTCGAAGATATCCCAGAAAGTTTCTTTACCTTTACGAAGAATTTCTTGCCTAGAGTTCGTACCAGCAATAGGAAGGCGCACCATGTCCGATCATTAATGGCGCCAATTTAGGCTGCCTAAATCAACAGAAATACAGCTCAATGAAGTCAAAACAGAGCCCTCTTTTGATCGTTTGTGGGCGCGCATCCCATTACAAAGAAATGCAAATGACCTTACAGAATAGCTTATTTTCCACCCCGGGACAGAATGATTTATGTCGCATTTGGAAATCCGTCAATTACTTTCCCAGCACTACCTATAGGCAAATCTCCTTTAAGGAAACCGGTTTACATTCGGCCATTTGATCCCGTCTCCTTTACATATTCTTCTGAGGGACAGTTCACTCAACAAAAGAGGCAATCGCTATGACACTCAACGGGACCAACAGTAAATACAGTCAGTAACTTATCTAGGAAGGTTCTAGATGTCACTCTAGACACCTGAACTTTGATTTGAAATGTATGGTGTACCGGACAGCCTCACCGAATCCCCTGTTAGTTAACTTTGATTGACCAATATCCCAATCATTCTGAATTTGTCATGGTAACTAAAAACAGGGATTGTTTTGTAACAACTCCATGCTTGTCTAAGGTAGATTTGCATCTCCACTTGCCACCCAATTACCTTTACAGTCCTTATAATCAGCCTATGACGGTACTCAGAAATCGGTGTTTTATGATCCATTTATATGCTACAATTTTGGGGAGAGCATCGTGCCCATTAAATCGGAGGTAGAGAAAGGGCAATAAAGCTTTGAGCTCAATCGACGTTTTGGCAATGTAAGTGCAGCCATTACTTATTCCTTTCCCATGGGTTATGCGGAACAAAGGCATCTATCAGTGGGCCGAATGATGGATGTAGAAAATACCAACCTGACAAGAGTGCCAGCCTCCTTGCGGGCAGCATTCATCAGCCCTTAATGCACGTAGAAATGCTAATTAAGTGAACCGTGCTTATTCACTTGTGCATCATGAAAGGCTTTTGCCCTTTTTATAAATAAATTATTAGCCGCCTTCACCACTGGGAACTTTAATGGTAAAATATTCTGTTTAAAAGTGGAAAACCAGCAAAAATTTTTAGATTGTTTGGAAAATTTTAAGCTTATTGATGGCGTGGTTGCGGTCAATATGAACGTAACTGCACTTGTCCCTTAATTTCCATGGATTAATGTCATTCAGTGTGTAATCTAAATGAAACCCTGCTACGACGATGATGGTGTGTGAAAAGCACCAAGAAGCCTCGACAGCGGTTTAATCGAGGAGGCTATTCTAAATTTATCATAATATAAAAAAATTTTTTCTACAAGAGGCATAAAGGTTTAAGGCGTTCGTCAAAAGCATAGAGTCTGAAGGTATAAGTGGATAACACAATTGCCAAAATGTTTTCGAACTAATTGGAGGCTACACATTGTCAAAATGTTTAGTCCTTTTCAAATCTTAAGCATCTGACGCCGTTTTGACCTATCAAACGAGAATTGAACCTACTATAAGTAACTTCGACTAGGGAAAACAAAAAATGCATCAAATGAACTTTTTAGGTATCGGACGTCAGCGTAGAATGACACCAATAAAAAAGCAACTGCGCTTTTAGTATGAACCACCCATATTGGGTTCTCCACTGCCTGAAACCCGCGTTTAGACTGAAATCCAACAGATGAGTATCTCAAGATTGCCAGCATTTTTTTACTTAAGTGGGGTTGATGAAGTAAGACCTTGCCAAGGCATGTCTCAAGTTCAATTAATTTACTAGCTTAACAAGTTGATGAAATTCTATTGCCCAGCTAATAAAGATAGGGTTTTTAGTGCATTGAAAACTTCTTTGATAACAGGTTGGCTTTTTTAATCGGCTGAGTTAGAGATTATATTCAAACCAAACTTTACAAATATCACTCATGAGTAGCAGTTTTAAGTTATCCTTTTAGAATATTAGCCAAACGAACAGCCTGATGGTCTAGCCAATCGTAAGACAGCGTCCCCTATCCCCGCCAATCAGAGCGCGCTGGTTGTCTTACAAGCCACCACGCCGGTGCAGCACATTTGTCTTCGCCTCATATCACTCAGATTTTCCCAAATCACATTTTTCAGTGGTCATGGAGGCTAAAAACATGACCACTGCGGCTACCAACTCTGTAACGACTGATTTTGTACTTGATTCTCACAAGTATGCCATTATTGCTAAGGAGTTTTCTTATTATGTCAACACTTTAAATTACAATGTCAACAAGCGTATCATAATGGCACTCTACTGCCTCATCTTCCTCCTTGGATCATGTTTAAACCTCCTACTAGTCTACACTATTATGCGGGTACGCAACCCCAAATCGACATCAAATCGGCGGATGCTGTTAATGCATGTTTGCTGCGATCTTGCGTTGGTGTGGTTCGGAGTGCCATACACTGCCTACACCGTGGTCTATAAAAGTTGGCAGTTGGGCTCTGTCATGTGTCATGTGGCTTCATTTCTAATCTACTTCATTGTGGGTCTTACAAACTTCCTCCTTGTGTCAATTTGCCTCAACCGAAGCATTGCCATTGCAAGAGCTGGACGATGGGCAGGCGAAAGTGACTACGATGTCAACTGTCGTGTCACTGTTCTCTTTACAGCTGCTATTGTTCTTGCCGTGGTGATTGCTCTTCCTTCGGCAATTGTCTCGAGAGTTACAAATAATATCTTTAAGGATCCTCTGTTTACTGCACTTGCACCACCTATTTGCATGTAAGTTAACTACTGGGTACAGAAATTCATTTCCTTCTTTTCTACTTCCCGTTAAAAGGATATTTTAAAAATGAAAAATTTTGTATAAAGTGAGCGTCAAATTATTTTGTTTCAACAATCTCCTAGTGGTTTTCATGTTTGTGCGGATTAGATACTTGCGTCTGAGTTTTAAAGTGAAAAGTTCGTTCATTATCAAGTTGTGTTTTCGAAATGGTACACGTTTTTCAAGTTCCAAAGCATAAACAGAAACCTGTTTCTTGTCTACATTGATTGTTTTGTTTTTGTAAAACTGTACAGCACAGTGCATTAATCAGCGGCATTTAGACGCAAAGGAATAAGCTAATTCCTTCACTGCGAGCTCACTTATCCAAAGTATATGCTGGTGGTCATGTCAGAAACAGACCGCAGCTGCCTCATTAATGCCGATGGGCAAGTTAACTAGCCACCTATTTGTCAAATGGCATGGCAAACAGCAGAGGGCGAAGGAAAAGGACCACTCATTTGTCGCACACCTTATCACCATTTATGCAGTCGTATCAGTCTGTCCCATCCTTAAGGCAGCGCGTTCTCCATCACTGTCAATGTTTGAACATTGACACGATATATTACGAGACTACAAATACGCTTTTAGAGCTGCCTCCTTCGTTTGTAATGTACATCATAAGGTGATTGCTTCCAGTGAATCGTTTGATTCATAAAAAAGGAACAGTTCCGTCTACCATCTCGTGAATTTGTCTGCCCCTTTTGTTCCCTCTCGCGACAATAAATTAATCCCCGGAGGAATGCAAAGACCATATAAATCAAAGTCCATCATAAATATGAATTTAATTTACCAGAACTAGCTTTTCCATTCCATCCTTTTTTCGAACACCCAGAAACATGTTCGAGGAGGCAAAAAATTCATCCGATTCTTTCCTTTTCCTCATTCTAGTCTTTCACTGAAACTACAATTGTGCGGCGAAGGAGATCCTCGCCAACCTAGAATCCAAACCACTCTATTGTCCCAGTGTTAGACGATTGTGGTGCAGGCTTTGGGCAATCCTAGGATTCTAACCAAGTCCTCTCAATTTGTACAACACTGCGTTATAAAGAACTCCACCTTAGCCTTTTCATGAGTAAAGAGGGGTGTTTAAATCGGCTAGAAGTTAAAAACGCAGCTTTGGCGTCGAAATCAAGGAGATTGATTTTGAAAGTCTACTAAAGATGCGAATCAGAATAAAATAAAATTTTGTTCAATGCAATCTTTTTTTGCCATCCCTCGTTATCCCTCTTTGGTTTCTCTAAGTGGCTGAGTTATCTTCAAAATTGACTTTTTAATGCATAAAATTGACTTCCATAATTAAAGGAATCTCGTCTTCCAACTTTTACATCAACCTCTAAATCGTCTAGCGAAAAGTGGGGCTCTTTTTCAAATAGCACAAGAAAAACATAAACGGGAGATCCTACCAGTCATGTTTTATCGAAGATATGCGATGCTATTTGCACTTTTCATGTGCCACTTTCCCTTCTTCCTTCCTTGTCTCCTCACCGCCATTTGCATTTCTCTCTGCGTCTCGTGCTCCGTTGATGAGACTCTGGAAGGTGGTGACTGCGTTATGCCTCCAACTCCCGAATGGGGTTGAGCTGCCACACCTGAGGCATTCCTTCCCACCTTGACGCCAATACCAGAGCCATTGGCATACCTTAAACCATTTAAAAGACAGGAAGACGTTTTGAGCTCCGAAATTCGACTTTTATATGCCAAACTAGTGTCATCGAAGCTACCAAACTGTTTACACTTTACTAGCCCTTCCCTTATATCAAAGCCCTAACTTACCATTATCCTCGCACGCCCAATTTCGATGTTGGCTGACACTGTCTCTTGCCGAACCCTAGCGTTCTTAATCTTAGTTTTGTCGTTTGCAAGGACGTAAGAACAAGGTTGGTTAACCTCTTTCAAAAGATTGTCGAGAATACTAATTTTGAAGTTGATAGGCTTGGGAATACCTGCAGATGTATTCCATGTAATGAAGCTTTAAAGCACCTAAATCTAGGCATACTGAAGAGACTGTTTCCCTTTTACTGTTCAACATAAAAGCATATGAGCAAATGAAGAAGCAGCTATTTTTCTTCCATGGAAGGACTTTTTCTCAAATGTTACACACAAAGGGTCCAGAGTGAGCAGATTAAAGGACTTTAACGATTTAGTGTTTGGACTAGCAGTAAAAGGCAGAATGAACGCCTGTGGCATCAGTGCGAACAGAAGTGCTCTCATCGACTGTTCCAGCATACTTTAATGCATTAAGCAAAAGTGAGCACTTTTGGGGAGTTTTGCAAACAAGACTTAAATAAAATATTGGAAGCATTCTTATCAAACCTTCAATTTTTAATCTTAGACGGTGACAGGCTAGAGGTCAAAATGTTGGATCACGGATCAAGGAACTTCTTTGCCATTATTCTATGGTAATTACAGTGGTTTAATTGGCCTTTGCCGGGGTTGTGGGTCACCTCTTTCTTGGCAGATTAATTGGTTTTGAGTGTTGGAGGCAACGCTAGTTAATAATCACCAAATAAGGCAGTTAACCGTAGGATGCAAAATCTTCCACTTCACATGGTAACGCAATTACCAACCAACTACCACGACTGGGTGTCAGCTATTGTGGCGTCTGTGCAATCCTCCTCGAAAATAATGCCCTCCTTTGCACGTTATATAATAAAACTAGCAAAATTTTGTTGGCAATTGGGTTTCTTAAGAAGTTTTGTGGAGTCAGTTTGTTGGTGGGAAACGGTCATGACTCTGCTTCCTTAGCTGTCTTCTTTTATGCTTATAGAAGGCTGCACATCAACATAAATTTTATCAGGATGTACAAAGTATGAGTTGTTTGATTAAATCTGAGATTCACGATCCATTGCTTGTCCATTAGTGTGCCATTTTGAGTGCCAATGCTCTTCAGATGTCTTTCAGAAGACTTGGATGCTCCCTCACCAACTTTAATGCACTGCACACAAACCTCCAAAGAGCCTCTTTTACTGCCTACTTTTATAAGGCTCTATTAGAACCAATAAAATGGATCGAGAAGTTTTATAGTTGTTCTTCCATCAGGTAAAGTATATCTTCTAGACCTTCTTGTCATCCAAGAAGGGCATTAGAAAGACAATCTCGTTCACTTTATTGGACAAATTCATGTTCAACTAGGAACGAATCATATTTTCTCAAATTGCTCTAACGATAAAAAAACTGCACTTAATAAAGCTCAAATATATTATGCAGTCACAAGTTGATGAAACGAACGCCTAGTGGCATTGTCATGCTAATGTTCGCATGCTAAGTTGTGCGCTGGCACCTTTGGGTTGCTTAGCTATTCCTCAAGCCAACCTCACTTATTAATGATCAATCAAATGTTGGGGTAACGAGGCAAAATCGCCTCAATTTTATGCGTTTTTACTTGTACTAAGACAAAAATAGTGATTGTGGCATTGACTTCTCTCTCCGCCGCCTCCTCTCAAGAAATTATAATCTCATAGGGCCTGTCTAGAAGTGAAAATGGAAACTACATCATAGCACTCCAATTTTGGAGTCATAAGGTGTCCTAATTCATCCCAAAATACTTCTTCTTCCAGTCAGGAGTAAAAGAAAAGTTGCCTCGAATCTATGCACTATCAAGCCGATCTTTGGAACCCAACTTACTGATACCTTGGGAGGGGCGTTGAAGGATGAGATGGTGCAATGTGTAAAAACTACTTCTCTAGAGATGAAGATTTTGAAAGTTGCTTCAGCCCTTGCCTAGAAGGGCGAATCCTCTCGTTTTTAGCTGTCTCGTAAAGCCTAATCAGGTGTATGAGAAGTGTTGGGAAACACGTTGTACACAAATTCTTGACATTTAGTCAAAAATATCGAAATGAAACATTTCCTAACATACGTGCCTCTGATTGCATACATATGTTGATAGGAAGTAAGGAATTGTTTTGTTACTTGAATGACAATTACTACGCGATCGACCTTATATTCAACGTCTGTTTAGTGAAACCTGGTCTAGCCGAGCCAAAATGGCCTACGATTTGACGCTGATCATTACCATCTACTTCATCCCGCTGATAGTCATTTGCCTTAGTCATCACATAGTCACCCAACAATTACGCCGTTCTCACCACATGCTAAGTCTGATGGGACACACAATCAGTGCAAAGTGGAGACGTCGTCGTCAGCGTCTCATCCGTCTATGCGTCCTCATGACGACCCTCTTCGTATTGTCCTGGTTTCCCAATCACCTCTGCAATATCCTCACCAAGATTTTTGATGTGCGTGGGGACACCGCGGAGACTCTACAAGATTACGCTTTGTGTCTTGGTATTTCCAACACCGTCAGCGAACCTCTACTCCTCATAACAACTTGTTCGGCTTATCAACGCTTTATTCGGCGTCTTCTGGCGCGTTGGAGGTTGGTAAAATCGGCCGCAGATGCTGTGGAACCCATAGTCTCTTCCAGCATTGGTGCACCGGTCCTACCCACTCCTGTTCCTCAACTAACCAATGGGAATAAAAGCGACTCGCAGGTGGCGCCCTCGGTGCAACGGGAAGCCTGAATGGTTCTCACGAGGTTAATCAACTTCAAGAGGAATTGCGTGGACTGTAAATAGTGGAGTATTTTGTTACCATGGCATTAAATGATACATTACCTTTTTCCGTTGACTTAAATGAAGGTGTGTGACGAATTTCGCTTGACATGACTGCGTAATGTAGGGCAGATCATTAGGCTGCGTTTAAGGGAAGTATCGATGACTAGAAAAGTAAAAATTTATACTTCAAAGGGAAAACATGGAGTTAAAGAATGGTGAAATTGTTTGGATATTTAGTCGGTTAAGTCTTCAATCGTGGCTCGGGTGACTTGCAGACAAAGCAAATTAGCATCCCAATTGCTGATTGGCTACAGCACAGCGGAACCTCCAATGAGATGTTTGTTTGAGGAATAGCAGCTTATGAGTGAATGTTTTTGGCGGTAAAACACAAATAACCAGTTTGCCAATCGTTATTTGTTAATTTTTTTCTTTAATTATGGGGCTGCTTCTCAATCTAGCCGAGAGGAAGTGGAGTGGAAAGCGACCACTCGTAAATTAGTAATGTGCGGACCTCCAAATAAGGTCGACCAAAAGTATTCTACAGTTTGTTTGTTCGGCTTCAGAAAAGATGCAAATGCATTTACAATACTGCTAAAATGGTTTACACATATTGTCTTCAAGGAAACCCAGACATGGGTATTACCCCTGCTAGATATTTAAACGGAATCTATTGTTCAATCTTGCTTTCAAATTGGAATCACTGAGGTGACTAGAATGGCTTTATGGGCAGACATTTAACGAAAGTTAGCCACCGGCTTCGAGGTAGAGCTGACCAATTAATCTATACAAGGAAAAAAGTGACAGGTTATAGGCTGGAGAACAATGCAGCAATATCTTAATTGAAAATAAATGTTACGACAGATTTATTTGGCGTCTTTCACTTGTTACTTTACGAAGGAGGCAAGATTTTAAATTTGCTAAAGTTGAGGGATAACAATTTTGTCCTTAAGGTAGAATTTACCACCTTGAAAAAGGTTGCTGTTGGTTGACTCGGCATTGGAACTCAATGACAGGACTGACTTGCTAGAGGCAACTTCA